TTATGGGAACCACAGTTCTAAAAACGTTAAACTGAATCCCACTCCATGGGGACCAGAGAAACCAAAAGAGAGAGAGAGAACTGAATGACAAACACATCTGGAGCCCAGAGCTAAGGCAGAGAATTGTGGGCTTATCACAGACTAGTCAGATGTGGTCTCACTCATGAGACCCAACGGTTCAGATCAGAGCTTCAGCACTGCTTAGTCCCATTTCTCCCTCCTGATCCTTTCCCTGCATCCTGCTCCTTAACCATCTTCCTTCCTCCCTCTTTCCTCTTCTCTTTTCCTTTCTTCTTTTAGGCATTTAGGCACTATTTTTTCCCCTTTTTGCCAATAAACCCACACAATAATTAACCATTTAAGTGTGCCGGTTTGGTGATATGGCAGCCACAATGTGAATCAGACTCTGCCCTTGGGTAGGAAGATTTGGTTAATACAGGAGGGGAGGGGAGAGGGCAGAGTGATGGGAGAGATGACAGAGGAGGGTGGAAGATAAATCCTGGTTAGATATGGAAAACTTTAAATACAGTGTATTTTTTTATAGGAAGGTAGAAACCATGGTCAGTTTTGGATAAAACACCATCAATTATGTCTTAGGGAGATTACAACAGCAGTGAAGTGGAATGGAGGGAGAAAGAATGGAGGCAGAGGGACCACAGGAAGCAGTTTGATATAGTGCAGGCTTGTCATAAACAGGGTACAGGGGTTGGGCGGGGGGGAGGGGGAGACAGAAGACATTCTTAGTTGCTTTGTGAAACTTTCCCCTATATCCCATCTCATCACCATTATTTTTTAAAATATTTTTTTATTTATTTCAGAAAGGAAAGGAGTGGTATAGAGAGGATGGAAATATCAGTGATGAGAGAGAATCATTGATTGGATGCATCTTGGGGGATAGAGCCCACAACCCAGGCATGTACCCTGACTGGGAAGTTATAGGGCTACTCAACCATAGAGCTGCTGGCTGGGCACGATTCTTCTTATTACTCTTCCCTGTCTCTCCATGGTAAGTGGAATTTATGTTACTGATATGTGTGTGTGTCAAGTTCCTCTGATGCATTGGAAGGGGGGCGGGGAATGGGAACCACTGGCCCAGCATATGCTAGGGACTCAATAATACTTATGGAATGACTGGATATACGGATATGCACTGGTCTTGGAACTGTTAGGCCTAGATTCCAGGCCCACTTCAATCTCTTATCTTCTGTGTGCCCTTAAGAAAATCCCCAAACCTGTTGCGCCTCAGTTTCCTCCTCATGAGGGTCAGACTGGATGTATTTGTAAGCTCCTTCCAACTACGTGTTACTATGAGGTTCTGTGTGACGGTCACAGCCAAGGTGTTTATGTATGTGGAAGGGATGTCATGGGCTGAGGTGCTGGCAAGAGGCACAGAGAGGATAAATGTGGGAAATATTTTAATAGAGAAATCAACATCTTCTGGCTTCAGTTTTCAGCAACATCGTTGAACAGCTATCCCCAAAGTCCTGCTTCATAATATGTTGACTGATTCACAAAATATAAGAGACACCTGAAGTGCTGAGCTGAGCTTGAAGAAAGGAAAGAAAATCTACATGAACCAAAAAAAAAAAGGGTGACTGAGACCAAGAAATGTAAGCATGAGATGCGCTGTGACTAACCCCAGAAGGTATAGGGAGGAAGGAATATTGCTTGTCTGTCCTGACCCGGTGGTCCTGCTTAGAGTAGGAGGAGTTGCCTCTGAGAATTTGTAACTAAATGAATTAGCGTTTGAACTCCACAGAAATCTCAGGCCAAGAAATTAACATAAAGATTAGTTTTCAACCACTAGCAAGGCTCAGTGGTTGAGCTTCAACTTATGAACCAGGAGGTTACAGTTTGATACCCAGTTGCCTGGGTTTCGGGCTTGATCCCCAGTGTGGGGCATGCAGGAGGTAGCCGACCAATTATTCTCTCTTATCATTGATGTTTCTCTCTCTCTCCCTCTCCCTTCCTCTCTGACATCAATAAAAATATATTTAAACAAAAAAGATTGGTCTCCATCAGTTGATTCTCCTGGAATGCCTGGCAAAAGCAAACACAAAATTGCTCAGAAGAAACATACCCTCAATCCAGAACACAGAATATTACTGCCCTGGTAAATCCCCACTGAAGATTAGTTCACTAGATAAAAATTACAATACACAAAAGGGAACAATATACCCTGAATGGGGTGAGAGTAGGAAAGACTCTGAAGACAGCAGGTCTAAGTGACAGCCTGGATGTGGGGAAGGGAGAACTGGGATTCTTTAAGTGAGTTTAGGGAACCAAATGATGGTCACCATTAGCAGAAATTGGGTACAGTATATAAGGAAGGATGACTTAGACAGATTGTATTTGAAACGATGGTAGGATACCCATATGGAGATGTGCGTTAGTCAGAACCACGGAACTGTAGCTGGGGTAGGGACCAGGGCTGCCCGACTTAGAAGTCATCTATGTAGCAGTGGTAGGTGAAGGCCCCGGGAATGAATGAGCTCTCCTAGGAGAGAGCTGAAATAAAACTAAATCTGGGAACCATCCACATTTTGAGAACCAAATGAAAAGAGAATCTTTACTTGCTCTCTGGTTGGGTCCTGCCTGATTTTCCAGTTGTTTGATTTTAATTCTTTCCATCTCCTGCTTAATATTCTTTCCCCACTGAGTCCCTAGGGGATAGTCCAGAAAATTCAGCAGTTTCCCTTGGGAGTAATAGAAGAGACTTCTGAGCTGGGAGTTCTGGAACCAGGCTGGGCTCTGGGGACTAGCACTACTGTTACATCAATTTTCTCATTGGTGATATTTGGCCTCGATAGGTGTGAAGACAAGCTGGGGCGTAATAGAGCAGACCACTTGATGGAATGCTGATGAAGAAGGCAAGGGTGGGGTAGTGAGATGCCACCCACCACAGCATGTCTGCCCTCCTTCCTTCATTCAGATGACGTGTTTTGGGACCGGTTGCTTGAGATCTGGGCCTTTGAGCTCTTCCTTACCTGCTCTTCATGGAAAGTGAAGCCAAGTGGTCAGTGTGAAAGGTGTGATCACTTACACAGTACATAACGAGAGTCATCCTTATCTTATGTCTCCATGAATCTATTACAATACTTGACAGTCCACCATTTGAGCCTCTCTCCAGGGTTAAACACTGCCCTCTGCAGGCCATTCTTTTAAAATGTTATCTCCTAGAAGAGGTAATATCAAATCCTTCATCACAAATTGGTTTATTAGATACAAGATACTCAACTACATGAAAGCACTTAACACCTGGGGAGAGAAATGGGCGGAATTCTCTATTTCACCTCTTGGTTGGAGCGTAGCTCATTTGGTATATTGAACCCCAACATACCAAAGTTGTGGGTTTAATCCCCAGTCATGGCACATACAAGAATCAACCAATGAATGCATAAATAGGTGGAATCCTATTTTCAAATTAATGTTTTCCTCCCTCTCTTTTCTCTCTATCTCTAAAAAATTTTTTTAAATGTGTCTTAAAAAAAAAATAGCACACCTCAGAAGAGAAGAGAATGAAGCCCCAGACAAGCTACCTTTTCCTTATCAGACAGGAGTTTCTGGGGAGGAGAGATGGGATGCAAGACAGGCTTTTAATGCCCCCTGTTCTGCTCAAGGTGACCAGAAAGAGCGTTTAAGCTTTTGGGTTGGGAGTTTAGGAAGTGAAGGGCACTAAGTGAAACCTCAGCTTCCCCATCATAGTGTCATGCTGTCCTCACCATCCTCACCACCCTTCCCCCCAAAAGCCACGATGGGATTCACCTGGGGGAGAGTTAGAGGAGAGGGGCTATGGCAAGTGCAAAACAAAACTGGCTGGTCAGGGGGCTTCTGCCTCTTGTGGAAAGAGCAACTTTATGGGAGGTGGCTGTGAGCCTCAGGCAAGCACTCTCTCTTCTCTAGGCTTGGCTCTGCCCATCAACATCCCAGATGGGATGCTCAGTCCCTTTTGGCACTGAGAGCATGTGATTCTCACACAGACGTATAGGCACTTGCTGGAGACTGTGACACACCACGCACTGGGTGTTCACACACAGCACTGAAATACTGCAGGCTTCTGCTGCTGTCGCTGCTGCCTGGGGCTCCCTCTCGTTACAGAACCTATTTCACCTCTTGGTGGGAAGCTGTTCAAAGAATGCTATTGATCTGAGGTGCTGCCATTCTGGGGTTTTGGTGTGGGGGGAGGGAAGGGAATACTGGCTTTGCAGCCAGACAGATCTGGGTTTGACCCTGACAGTTCCTAGCTGGATTATCCAGAAAGTTTAATATAGGTTGCTTCCTGAATCTGAAATGGGAGTATGTATATAACTGCTGCACTCAGAATTAAGGAGGATAATATATGCACAATTTTCAGAAACACCTCGAGCCCTTAGGCTAGCTGTGATTAAATTCATTTAATTCAGTACATATTTATTGAATGCCTACTATGTGCCACAGTGCCTGACAGTAGGTGGGTAATGACTCCATGAATGTAAGGAGTCACATTTTCGGGGGGGGGGGGGAGGTCGGGGAGTTTTCAGGAATGGGGAAGGGGCTGGGAAGAAGGGTCAGGAGCTTGGATGGCAGATAAAGCTTTTAGCACAATGCTTTTAATTGCAAAAATAAACAGTTTTGCAAATGCTTGAGAGTAGCGTCTGCATTACAAAAAATTAACAACAAACAGGAAATAGCCCCAAAGCAAAAAAAAAAAACGTAACATCCAAATTGCTGCTGGAAACATTACTGTACAAAATACCGCTCGAGACCGGCTCGGCGCTGCCCCAACCTGTATTTGGGGGGAAGACAGGGGGATCATGGGACGGCGTGGGGCGTGCACCACGTACAAAACACCCTGGAGTCCCAAGGAAAGGACTTCCCCCAAGCGCAGCAGACGAGGAGGCGATCCTGGACGGCGGGAGCTGTCCACGGAGCCGGTGCTAAACGCGACTGGTGGAGGCCTGCCCCGGGGCGTGCCGGGAAAGGGGCGGGCCAGGTCCTCCTGCAAACTTGCTTCTCCCCACTCACAGGGCGGCGAAGGAGAGGCCCAGCGAGTAGAAGCCGAGGCCCTTGAGCCGCTCCTCGGCGCGCGCCTTCTGCTTGAGGTGCACCTTGCTGTGCCGCTTCTTCTCGTCGCTGCGCGCGAAGCGGCGGCCGCACACATCGCAGGCGAAGGGCTTCTCGCCCGTGTGGGTGCGCACGTGCGTGGTGAGGTGGTCGCTGCGGCTGAAGTTGCGGAGGCAGATGCGGCACTGGAAGGGCTTGTGGCCCGTGTGGATGCGCAGGTGGCGGTTGAGCTCGTCGGAGCGCGCGAAGCTGCGCACACAGCTCTCCACGGGGCAGGCGAAGGCCTTGGCGTGCGGCCGCGGGCAGAAGCAGCGCGCGCTGCACCTGCCGCCCCGGCGCCCCTTGCGCCGCGCCTTCGCCGGGGGGAAGGGGGCCGGCGGCCCGGGCGGCTCGGGCGCGCCGCTGCTCCCGGGGATGTCCCCCGCCAGGGGCTTCGGCAAGTCCGCCGCCGCGGCGCTGCGGAGGCCCAGCGGGGACAGCGGGGGCTGCGCACCGGCCAGAAATTCTCCGCCATCGCCGCTACTCCCTCCCTCCCCGCCGGGAGGGGTCAGGAGCCCCGGGAGGCCCTCGGCCCCCTCCCCCAAGGTGCCTAAGGCCAGCGGGAAGGCGTCGTAGGCCCCCGTGGGGTAGGAGGGTCTGTTGGCCGCGTCGATGGGCAGCTCCGCGGGGCAACTGATGGACAGCAGGTCCTCGATCTTGGTCGCCATCGTGGGGAAACGGGCCTCGGGGGGCGCCTGGTAGCCTCCCTGCGACCCGCAGCTCCCCGGGGCCCCGGCTGAAAGCAGCTCCCAGGGCGCATAGGGGCCTTTGAAGGCCGAGGCAGTGTCCAGCGCTGGAGAGGTCGCAGGGGCCCGGCGGCGGCCCGGCTTGACGTCGGGCGGGGAGAGCTGAGGCTCATACAGGCACTGCGAAGGGGTGCCCCCGGCCGAGGGCGAGGCCTCCCAGAACGCCTCCGTGAAGGCGGCGGCGGCGCCCACATCCGGGGAGTACAGGTCCGGCGGCCCGGCCAGGAAGGCGTCGGGGACCGAGGGGAAAGCGTCCAGCGGAGACCGGGATGCTGCCGCCTCGGGGCCGGGGAAAGGCGCCAGGCCCAGGATGCCCGACATGAGATTGAAGAGGGACTCGGGGTCGTGCGGGTGCTCAGGCACCGCCTGGATGAAGAAGCTACCGCTGTAGCTGAGGCTGGGAGGGGGTGTGGGCGCAGGCCCCTCCAGGAGGCAGGCGTCGGCTAACTCCCCCCCGGCGCTGCAGCTGCTCAGAGCCCAGCTCAGGAAGTCGCCTGCCGAGGAAGGAACAGGAATCATCAACTCCAGGCACACCGAAAAGGGCGCGCCTCGAGTCGCCTAACCCCTACCCCACGGTCCCTCGGTGCCCACGGATACACATATAAAGTGCCCTTTTTGCACATTCTCATCTCATCCATTTGGAGCAGGCATACGCTCCAAGACGCACACAAAAACATGCACACCCAAAATGCACGTGCACAGGCAGAAAGGACACCTGGATCCACGCACAATGTCCTACGGAGGCGCTGGTGGCCTGGTAGGGTGGGTGGCAATGGCGGAGCGCACCCCAAGACCCCAGAGCTTCCTACCAGCGCTCCCCCCACACCTCCTGCACCCCAATCCAATCCCAGCTTGTCTCCGGCCTCGTGCGCCCCCGCACTGCGCCGCCGTCTGAGCGCCCCCAGCCGCGCTCCTTACCTCCCGGGTAGCCGGCGGCCGCGTCCCTGCCGGGCAGCCGGGGAACCTCGGCGCTGGGTTCGGAGCAACAGCCCTCGTCGGCGGACTTGAGCAGAAGCGTGTCGGGGCCCGAAAACTCGCTCAGGTGGAGCATGGCGCGGCGGCGGCTGCTGCGGGGGGCCGGGGCCTCGCACGCGGAGCTTGGGGGCGCGCGGATGGCGGGGAGAGAGGCAGGCGGTAGGGGCGCCCCGCGCGCCTCGCAGACCCAGGTGCCCGGGCTCCTGGCTCTCGGTGCTCAACCTCCGGAAAAGGGGTCGGGAGGCCCTAGCGCCCCTGCTCGTTGGGACCTGCTTGGAGCGGCTGCTCCTCGCCTCTTCCAAGCGCAGCCGGGCTCCCCCAAGCCGCGGCCCCCCCACTTATATAGCCGCGGCGGCGCTGGCACAGGGCTTCCGACTCCCGGGGCCACTGCCATTTCGGGAGGCCCCGGCCCGGCCGCCGTGACGTAAATGCCCAAACATGGACACAGGATGTTTGCCGGGGACTCCCGAAAAGGAAAGCTCGGCCGTGACGTCGCCGCCGCCGCCACCGCGGGGCCCTCGCCGCTGCGTGCGCGCGCGCTCCCTGCGCGCCGAGCCCGGTGCGCGCGGGGGCGCCTGGCAGGGGCGCTGCGCGGCGCGGAGGGCCGGCGGCCAGTGAGTGCGCTTCCCGCCCGGAGGCACAGGCCGGAAGACGGCGAGGGAAGAGCGCGTGGGTCTGGGGTTCCACGGTGCGGGGTTCGAATCCTCCCTTTGCCACGTACCAGCCGTCTCTTCATCTCTGTGAGCGTCGGTTTCCTCACCTGTTGAATGCAGATACGTATATATACGTGTCTACTTCATAAATTTGCTCTAAAGAGTAAAGGTGGGTTAAAGCATATTAAGTTCTAGGCACTGGGGTACTCAGTAAACCACTTTTTCATTGTTTTCTCACACCTATTTTTAAATTTTATTTTATTATTTTTTAAATATATTTTATTGATTTTTTTACAGAGAGGGAGAGAGAAGGACAGAGAGTTAGAAACATGGAGCGAGAATCATCGATGAGCTGCCTCTTGCACCCTCGCCCTCCCCTTCCCTCCCCCGCCCCCCCAATGGGGATGCCTCTCAATCAAGGCACATGCCCTTGACCAAAATAGAACCTGGGACCCTTCAGTCCTCAGGCCAACGCTCTATCCACTGAGCCAAACTGATTTTGGCACACATCTGTGTTTTTAATTTCCTTAGTAGTTGTTTTAGTTTATTCTGAGAAAAATAACTTAAACTGTAAAGGACCATACTACTTGCTAATGGTGAGAGAAAAGGTCACTTAGTACCCAAGGATATGTTTTCAGTTAAAAATTAAAAGTCTTTATTAAGAGTCTTCTAAGGCTGTATAATGCTCCTTTGTAAAGGAGATCAATTTGTCTGCTATCCATGATCATATAGGAAGTTTCCAACCTTTTACTTTTATTATACCAACATTGCTGTAGTCAGTATACTTAACTATATACAGGTGACTATATCTGTGGGGTAAATTCAAATGAGTGTAAATTTCGGTCAAACGGTATGTAAAATTTGGAAGTAAGAGAAGTAAGGTCAATTAATTCCTGCTCACTCTTCCTTCACCTACAAAGTAATGAGATAATTCTGTAGAACTTTTTTCTGCCTCCATATAAATGTCGTACTTTAGGGATGCTGTCCCCAGCAACGCACAGAGGATTGACAGGTATATTTCTCTAGAATCACTACCTGGAATAATTGGGCTCTTGAAAAAAAAAATGAGAGAGAGAGAGACCAGGAAAACGCACAAAACGAGCTCCCTAACCTTAAGGAGGCTGTGAATCTTGGCTGCATATCAGTCAATTCCCACAAAGAAGTCTGCCTACTCTCCTGCTCTCATACTGCAGTGGTTTTCCTCTGTCGTATAGTCTCATCTTTAAAATAATAGTTTAAAATTTTATTTTGTGTTATAGCTCACTTAACTCCTTTCTGGGACAATTTAGCGGATCAAATAAGGACATGGGATAGCATATCTTTGAACTCTGGGTGCTGGAAGGTGGGGAGGCAGGCCTGGGGTTCCCTCTTCCCTCTCCACTTGCCTAGGAATGAGAAGGTGATGGGTTAGCAGTGTTTCCCAAAGTGTGGTACACGTACCCCCAGGGGTACGGGAAGGGTTTGGTGGGGGTACGCATTGCACCGGAGTTTGGGGGGGATATGCACTGCACCGTGCTCAGCTGCGCCTAATTCTACGTTCTCATGAGTACGAGGAGTACTCAGCGTTACGAAAATTATAGAAGGGCTACACATATGTCAAAAGTTTGGGAAACACTGGGTTACAGCATAATCAGCAGTGTGTATCCTAGTCTCCCTTGCTGACTGATACCCACCAAATTCTCAGGCCTTTCACCCCATGTCCATTATCCAAACATTCATTCATTCTATTTCTCAGTGTTTATTTATTCAATATTAATTCCTTAAGTGTCTACTATGGACCAGAAGGTAGATTTTGGTTTTTATTCTACCAGGATCCAGAGACCCATCTCCATTCTTTGCTGCCCCTTTCCCCAACCCACAAGGACCCTACATGTATGTTTTGGGAATATGTCATCACCTGATCACCTGCAATACACATGTAAACACACTAGCATTCATTTTCTTCTTGAGTTTGGAAATCGTACAAAGGTTTTTCTCAGCCGTGCAAATGCCGTATGTTTCAATGAATGCCACAGATCAGTTCTGTGTTAGCAGCACATGTGTTTGTATGTAGGAAATGCAGAAACTCAGCACATGTCTGTAAGGATTAGACACACAGAGCACTATTTATTTTAAACTCTATTTCAGACCTGAGTTTGATTCTGATCCAAGTGCATTGCCAAGACCAGGCAAGCCCACACCAGACACGCAGGGCACACATGTCTCAAGTCCATTCTGGCACTTGGCTGCTGAGGAGGGAGGGGGAGCAGAGGGATTTGGCTAGGCAGGTGTCCAGGGCTCCCCAGGTTTCCCCGTCGGGCCAGATTGGCCAGCCCCAGGTTCCCTGTCCCTTCTGTTGTTCTTCCCTCTGCCACAGCATTCCTCCTGCTTCTTAGTCATGGATAATTTCCCTACTCCTTTGGCAAATCCCAGGCCATTACTGCTCTCTGCCAAAGGCCCTTGGGCTAGGCCTGCGTTAGATAAAGGTCCAACTCCCCCTGTTTTATCTTGTTAGAGGTCAGGCCTACATGTAGAGCTGGGAAAGGAGAAGTGAGCAGGAGAAGAGAGGAAGAACACAGCTTGTGGTCTGGGTGTGGGCTAGTCACTCACAGTGGACGCACAAGCACACACTCTGATACACGGACGGTTACCTGTGAAGGGCAGTTGCATCTGCATTTGGTTCCTTGAGGAGGAGGAGGAGGAAATATAAAGGGGGGATGGGCATGTTGTGGTCCTTCCCAGCACAGTTCCTCTCCATCCTCCCCCCCTGATTTTAATGGCTTACAAAAGGGATTCTGGACCCAGATAGAATAAAGATCATTGGAAGTGGGTGGAAGAGATAGGAGCGTAGACCTATAAGCTGCACATTAATTCCCACCTCAAATATAAAACACAAATTTACATCATGAAAAAAAAGAGAGATCACATACATTGAGCACTTAACAAACATACTTAATCATCACAAAAGCTCTTGGAGGAAAGAATTGGAGACCCATTTCTCAGATGAAGAAAGAGACTGGGAAAAATTAAATATCATGCTCATGGCCACACTTCTAGTCCATGGGAGGCCTGAGAGTTAAGCCCAGGTTAATCTACTTCACAGGATAACTTAGGGAAAGATAATTCATTTTATAAAAGGATTCACTCTAGGATGACTTTAGATGAAGGATCCCCCTCTAGCTTTTCAAGCATGGTCTGATGTGGAATCCTGATCTGGTTGTGCCCACCTCCTCAAGAATTCCCTGGAATGACTGCCTTGGAGAGCAATGCTATGGTCATATCAGACATGTGCTGAGAAATGCGTACAAGGTCCCTGGAAGCCAGTGGGAAAGTTGTTGTTGTTGTTGGTGGTAGTGGTGTGTGTGTGTGTGTGTGTGTGAGACCTTGAGGAGAATTTTTAATTTCCATAGAAAAGGGTAAAGTAGAGTTTACTTTTGTTGTTGTTGTTAATTCTCACCTTAGGACATTTTCTCATTGATTTTTAGAGCGAGAGGGAGGGAGGAGAAGAGAGAGAAACATCAATATGAGAGTTACATTGATTGGGCGGGATCAAGCCTGCAACCGAGGCTTGACTGGAATCAAACCCATGACCCTTCAATCTGAGGGCCAAACTGAGTAGGGTGAGAGTTTACTTACTTTTTTTTTTTTTTTTAATGGAACGTTTCATGAATTTGTATATCATCCTTGCGCCGGGGTTATGCTAATCTTCTCTGTATAGTTCCATTTTATTTTATTTTTTAGTATATATCTTGCTGAAGCGAGCACGAGAGTTTGCTTTCTAGACAGGCACTGAACAGACAATTAGTGAATGAATTAATGAATGAGCAAATTCATTCATCAAGTGCTCATTGAACACAGCCCTGTGCCAGGCCCTTCGGATGCTGATGGCACCGTGGATGAGACTGGAAGCTCTGGATCCAGGGAGGGAGGTGGGGAAGGGAGGGCCTGTCATCGTTCTGGCAACGCTACCGCCCCTCCCCTCCCCCTCCCCACCTTGATCTTTCTGCTCTAAATATCATTGTGTTTAAATAATAGTGTATGTATTTTTAAAAAGGCTCCAAGAAGACAGCTGCCTCCGAGTATTAATCATGAAGAGGCCAGCACTCAGTCTCCATGGCGACTCCTGACAGAGAGCAGGGGAGCAACAGTTCCACATCCCGCTTCCTGGGGCCATGGAGACGCAGGAACACAGCATCCCTCAGCCTTTCTTTCTCTCTGCCTCTCCTCTCTCCCCCCTTTCCTCTCCATTCTTCGTCTCTCCCATTCTCCCTCTCCACTCCCCCCCTCCTTTTTTTTTTTTTTTTCTTCCTGAAGGATTTATTTAAGAGCGGGGACAGAGGCAGGATCCAGCCATCAAAGGAGCAAGGACAGGCTGCAGCAGAGATGAAATGTGCCTCCAACGGCAACCTCTGCAGCCCACGACTCCCCTCCTCAAGCCCCTGCG